CACTATATTGTATACCTGAAACTAATATAACATTATATGTTAACTATATTGGAATTAAAAATTTTAAATACTTGGTAAATCCAAAAACAAAACAAGGCAAAGGAGCCAAAGAAGGTGCAGAACATGTAAAAAGCAAAGAGGAAGATCGTAAACTTAAACCCAACTATATCAGTAATTACATTAAATGTAAATGAACTAAATACTCCAATTAAAAGACAAAGATTTTCAGACTGATACCAAAACAAAAATCTAAATATAAACTTTAAAAAGTTTTTTAAATATTTTTTTGAAAGATAGACAGAGCATGAGCTGGGGAGGGGGAGAGAGAGGGAGACACAGAATCCAAAGCAGGCTCCATTCTCTGAGCTTTCAGCACAGCACCTGATGCAGTGCTTGAACTCATAAACCGTGAGATCATGACCCAAGCCAAAGTCAGACGCTCAACCAACTGAGCCACCCAGGTGCCCCTAAATATTTACTTCTTAGGAGATTCATTTTAAGTAAAAAAATGTAGGAAAGTTGAAAGTAAAGACATGGAAAAATATCATGCAAACACTAAATTACAGAAAACTGGCATAGTGGCTATACTAATAACAGAAAGTAGACATTAAAGCCAAAAGTATTAACAAAGATTACAAGAGGCATTGTATAAGATGGTCAGTCCAATAGAAAGTTATAATAATCCTAAATTTGTGTGAACCTAAAAATATATGAAGCAAAATTTTATAGTGCTAAATGTTGAAACAGACAAACCCATAATGCAGTATGCAAACAAAAATTTAGTTAAAAGAGATTTGAACTATATGACATAAACTTGATTTAATTCATATATGTAATGTAGAACACTGCACTCAACTTCAGATCACATATTTTTTCACATCCATATGAAATAGTTGGCAAAATTGACCATATTTTAGATCATAAAACAAGTCTCAATAAATGTCAAAGGAATAGAGTCACATTTTTGGTTAGTAGAATTAAGTTGGACTCAAATGACAAAAAGATAACAAGAACATCACTAGATATTTGAAACGTATACAATGAAATGTCTAAATAACTAATAGATCAAAAGAGAAATCACAATTGAAAATATAAAGTATTTTTAACTGAATGAAGATAAAAATATAACATTAAACCTTGTAAGATGCAAGTAAGTATACCTACCGGGAAATTTCCAGCCTAAATACATATTTTGAGGGGAGGATAAAAACTAGAGATCTAAGCAAGTATAACAAACACCAGAAATCAATTAGATAGAAAACAAAACTATAAAACCAAAAGTTGATTCTTTAAAAGATGAATGTGATTGATAAAGCCCTTGCAAGACTGATCAAGAAAACAACAGGAAGAAGGCCTAAATAACAAATACTAGTAATGATAAAAGAGGCATTATTACAGATCTTTTAAGCATAAAAGATAATCAGATGATATTAAAAACAATTTTTGGTCAAAACTAACGCAAAAATTTAGATAAAATGGATAAATTCATTGAAAAGCTTAATGACACTGGCATAAGAAAAATTCTAAACTGTTTACTATGAAAGATATTGAATTTGTAATTAATAACCGATGCACAAAACCCTTCTAAATCCTAGAAAGATTTACCACTGAATTCTTGCAAACATTACTTAATGATTAAGAAATGGCATCATTCTTTCAAAATCTCTCCAAAAATGTAAAAAGATGAACACTTCCAAACTTCTATGAGGCCTGCATCTCCTTGACACCACAGCATTATGAGGATATTAAAACTAAGGAAAAATATCAGGCCAATCTCTTTCATGAACAAGGACACAATATCCTAAACAAAATATTAGCAAATTTCTTCCAATGGTAAGTAAAAAGAATAAACATTATGACCACATTGGGTTTATCCCAGGAAGGCAAGGTTGGGTTTACATATGAACACCAATCAATGTAATTCACCATAATAACATAACGAAGGAGAAAACCATATTAGCCCCTCAGTAGATGCAGAAAAAGTATTTGATAAAATTCAACACTCATTCATAGCTCAAAACTCTTGGAAAACTAAGAATAAAAGAGAATTTTATTAATTTGATAGTTTTTCTACTGAACACCTAGAGCAGTATCATATTTAATAGTAAAATATTAAGAATAATATAAGCATGTCTGCCATCATCTTCTCCACTCAGCATTTTACTGGAGGTAAGTGAATTTAGCAAAATAATTTGATACAAAGTCATATCTGAATACCAAATATATTTTTATATACCAACAAAAATAATTAGATGATGAAACTTAAAAGATATAATTTATCTCTTAAGCTGCCCCTCTGAAGTTGACAGGCATGTGTTCCAGCCCTTCACTTACCTGCAGCCCTGCCAAAGCTAATGGACATACCCGGGCCCTGTGCTCTCCTTCTGTCTCATTCATCTATTGATGGACACTTGAGCTACTTCCATAAGTTGGCTATTGTAAATAATGCTGTTATAAACATATGGGTGCATATATCTCTTTGAACGAGTGTTTTTGTATTTTGAGGGTAAATACCCAATAGTGTGATCACCTGATCATAGGGAAATTCTATTTTTAACATTTCGAGGAGCCTCCATATCATTTTCCACAGTGGCTGCACCAGTTTGTATACCCACCAATAGTGCAAGAGTGTTCCTTTTCTCCACATCCTTGCCAACACTTGTTGTTTTGTGTTTTTATTTCAGCCATTCTAACAGGTGTGAGGTGGCTCAGTTGGTTGGGCATCTGACTTCAGCTCAGGTCATGATCTCGCAGTTCACGAGTTCAAGCCCTGCATCAGACTCTGTTCTGACAGCTCAGAGGTTGGAGCCTACTTTGGATTCTATGTCTCCCTCTCTCTCTGTCTCTGGCTCTCTCTAAAATAAATTTTAAAAATAGACACATCGATAAATAGAATAGAACAGAGAGCTTTATTTATGACAAAGTATCCAAGAATATACAATTAGGAAAAGACTGTCTCTTTAATAAATGGTTTTGGGAAAAACTGGACAGCTATATGCAAAAGAATGAAACTAGACCTTGATGTTACACCACACACAAAAATTAACTCAAATGGATTAAAGACTTAAATATAAGACCAGAAACCATAAAACTCCTAGAAGAAAATATAGGCAATGTCTGTGATATTGGTCTTGGCAACATATCTTTGGATTTGACCCTAAAAGCAAAGCCAACAAAAGTAAAAAGAAACAAGGTTCCTCAAAAAATTAAAAATAGAACTACTATATGATCCAGCAAATCCATTTCTAGGAACTTATCTCAAGAAAATGAAAACACTAATTTGAAATGATATATGCAGCCTCATGTTCACTGCAGCATTATTTACAATGACCATGATACAGAAACAATCTAAATGTCCCTCAGTGGATGAATGACTAAAGAAGATGGAGTATATATACACAGTGGAATACTACTCAGTTATAAAAAAGAATGGAATTTTGACATTTACAGCAATATGGATGGACCTTGAAGGCATTATACTGGGTGAAATAAGCCAGACAAAGACTAACACCATATGATTTCACTTATATGTGAAATCTAAACTAAACAAACTAAAATTTATAAAAACAAAAAACAGATTGTTAGTTGCTGGGGGTCCGGTAATGTTGAGGGTTGGGTGGAATTGGTGATGGGAGTCAAGTAGTACAAACTTCCAGTTATAAAACAAATATATCATGGTAATGTACAACATGGTGACAATGGTCAATAGTATTTTATTGCATATTTGAAAGTTTTTAAGAGAGTAAATCTTAAAAGTTCTTATTATAAGCAAAAATTTTTGTAATTTTGTGTGATGATGGTAATTAGATTTATCGTGGTGACTATTTCACAGGGTATAGAAATAAGAATCATTATGTTATACACCTGAAACTAATATAGCATTATATTTCAATTAGGCCTGTCTCTATGTAGAGGGATGTATAATTGAAATATAAGGCTATATTAGTTTCAGGTGTACAATATAATATAATGCTGTATATAATATATATTTTATGTATGTTGTACATTATAATGATATGTATATTTATGTTGTGTATGTATGTATATAACATATATCTATGACTTGAATCAGATTTTAATATCAGATATATTAAAATTTTGTCAATAGTCAAAACACTGTTTACAACTTTGGATTATTTTATTTCATGTACCAAATTATTATATCATGCATTATAAATCCTTAAAAAAGACACATATGTAATTGCATGAAAATCAAGTATTTAGGAATAAATATAATAAGACATATGTAAAATCTCTACATTAATAACTGTACATTACTGGGAGAAATTAAACAAAGCCTAAATAATGGTGTTGATGTTTATGGATTTATGATGTTGATGGATGGGAAGTCTAAATATTGCAATATATTGATTCTACCCAAATTTATCTTTCAATTCAATGAAGTCCCAATTTATTAAAAAATAGGATTTTTAGGGAGATGGAAAGTACAAGCTGATTCCAAAATTTTTATACAAACAGCTAAGACTAATCAAGAAAGTCTTGAAGAACAAAGTTGAAAAATCTATACTACCAGCTATCATGATTTATTATAAAGGTATAGTAATAAAAATACCACGGCATGGATGCAAGGATGGATAAATAAATTGCATTCATCAGAATCGAGAGAGGAGACAGAAACAACCCTAGTGTCGATGTTGACACGAGTATGGGCCAAAGAGTCTTGGTCTCTAGGTTTTACATTTGGTCACTCCTGAATATCAGTAGCCTATGAGGGCAGAGGCTAAATGTTTTTGGTCACCCCTGTGTTCCTAGTAGCACTTACCCAGGGCCTGGCTCAGAAGGAGCACGAGTAGTTCCTACTGAATGAGCATCTATCTGAACAAGCCAGGGAAGAGACCTCTTCCTGGAGAGATTGACCACAAAGATTTATGGGTGGGAGACAGAGCCTGCTTTTCCATTGGAAGGCAACCCCTGGCCCAGGTGGGCATAGGAAACAAAGCCTAGGTGAGGGTCAGATGCAGGGCTGATAGTCCAGTCACCTGTAGATGGAGGCCAAGGGGCAGGTAAGCCACATGCTGTTGGTCAACTTGCTCAAATGATAAATGTCAAAGATGAAGTATGGCTGGTTGATTTTCTTAGCGTGGTCACAGGGTACAAGACAGGGTTCCAGCTGCAGTTCAGGCCGCATACGGCTATGTTGTGCCCTCTCCGCTCTCAGATACAGCCAACAGGGCATGGGTTTTTCCTGGGGCTCCTCAATGTAGCAATACCCCAGGCGTTTCCGCTCACCAGGTTCCCCACAGCGGTTACAGTCTTGCCAGGGCTCTCAGTGGGTGAAGACTAGCACCTGGCCCCTCAGACTCAGGGTCTCATTTTGCAGGGGCTTTTGGCCCAGGCTTTTGTGCGTAACATGCAGGGTGGTGACATCTTGGAAATCAATCTCATACTCTACCACAAGGGCATTGTCATTGTCCTGGCAGTGATAGAGGCCTGTCTGGGAGGGTGGAGGCTTGGTCAGTTGAAGGCTTCCCCCAGGCAGTTTCTTTACATTAGCTACTGAGGAGAGCAGGAAGGGATCTTCCCCTAGAATGGAAGAGAAGTACCAGAGTGCCTTGGGATAGTCACACTGCAAGACGACATCATTGCCTGAGACTAGGGCCTGCTGGCAGAGACTCTTACAGGCACACCTGATTAATATCTGGGCCCACAGAGTGGGGAAAGAAAGGCTAAGCAGCCACAGGGTGGACAACATGGTACCCTGAGGTCACAAAAGGATGCTAGGAACCATCCTGGGCATTGTGAAGTCATCCACAGAACTCGGGCATCAGCCCTGGGCAGTGTAATGAAACTCGGTCTGCTGCACCTCTGCGAGTACACAGAAATCACTGGTCTGTACCATTTCTTTTTTTTTCTTTTTCTTTTTTTTTATTTATTTCTAGGAGAGAGAGAGAGAGACAGCGTGAGCAGGGGAGGGTCAGAGAGAGAGGGAGTCACAGACTCTGAAACAGGCTCCAGGCTCTGAGCTGGCAGTCAGCACAGAGCCCGACGCAGGGCTCGAACCCACGAACCTGGAGATCATGACCTGAGCAAAAGTCGGACGCCCAACCGACTAAGCCACCCGGGCGCCCCTGGTCTGTACCATTTCTAAAATCCACTGAACAAATCCTGCAAGGGCCTTCTGTCTTGTAACTGGGGAGCACTGCTTCATTAGCACCAGGTCTGCTAATTGAGGAGGGGTGGGGGTGCTTTCTAAATCTTTGTTCCCTGTGGCTCCTGTCTCTACAGGGAAATATCTTCTTTTCCATTATCATCCTTGGCTACAGCTGAAGTGACATTGAAAGATGTGCCCTCCTTTCCATATGAATAGTTTTCTTGGCCTGCTTCCTGTCTTCCAAAGTTTGGGACCTGAGGACTTTTATAAGGCTCCAGCCAACTCCATGTGCAAAAAACCCACATCCACAGTTCTGTGCAAGGCGTTCCCCATCTCTCTCCCTCCCTCTCCTTCTCTGTCTCTCTGTCACTGCAGAGGCACCATATCAGGCATCCATGGAGAGCCATATCCTTCATCTCTCTTTCACTGAGCTCTTTTGCCTATCTGGGAGTATCTTTAGGATTTTCTGAGAGTATCTTAATTCATTCAGGATCTTTAACAATGGGTAATGATGATTTAATTAGTGCTGTGCCTTTGATTTTATCTTTGACAAAATCTGAGTGCTAATTGGATGTTGTCTCTGAAAGGCCTCCTCAAATTTTGGCCAAATTTAGTGAACTTTCATGTCTATTCTTCTGTATTCCAACTGCTTCCACGAAAACTGCAAGTTCATTAAGTATATTATTTGCCTTCAAAAGTATCTCAGGCAGGGGCGCCTGAGTGGCTCAGTTGGTTAAGCATCGACTCTTGGTTTTGGCTCAGGTCATGGTCTCATGGTTCATGAGTTTGATTCCTGCATTGGGCTCTGTGCTGACAGTGTGGAGGCTGCTTGGGATTCTCTCTCCTTCTCTCTACCTCTCCCGTGTGCTCTCTCTCTGTCAAAATAGATAAATAAACTTAAAAAAAAAAGTAGCTCAGCCAACAGTAATTACTCAGGGACCCAGGATGATGAAGCAAAACCATCTTAAACATTTCCAGTTTCATATCAGAGGAGGAAAAAAGAGAGCTCTGTAGGATTTCATAACTATAATTAAATGTTCTGGCCTTAAATGACATCTGTCACTTGCTCACAAACCACTGGTCAGAAAGAGTTACATGGTACCACCAATTCACCAATCCAACAAAGGAAATGGAATTCTACTATGCCCAGGAAACATTTACTAGATGGCAGTCAGTGATGATTACCACAGTTGATATTCACCACAAGGAGTGTTCTTTTACATCATAAGGTTAAAATCATTTGCAAAGTCATCCCATCAGATCTCCTAAGGTTCTGTTAGCCAAGATTAGGTCCCATGTGTAGACCCAAACCAATCCCTGAGAAAAAACAGAATTTCCATGATTGGCTTAAGACAATCAGAATTTGTTTTCTAGGACTGGGAAAGTATAACCTCTTCTGACTACAGAAGTCATTGAAGACCAAAAAAAAAAAAAAAAAAAAATCAGGGCTTTGTATACAGGAGAAAGGTGGAATAGAATGCTTTTTTTGGTGGGAGTAATTCTATACTATCTAGAAGATCAAAAGAATGCAGTGTAGCTAAAGAGGCAGTCACTCATATGACCTGGAAGAGGGGGACATTTGGTATTTTGTGGCTTGGACAATGTTCCTGTCATCTCTTTTCAGACATGATTATGGAGTGATCTTGGTTTTGTCTTGGCTTATCACAGTCACAGAGAGGCTTTGTGTGATACTGGCAATCTGTTCAGTTGTTTATGTTCAACAGCATACCATGATTTAGCTGTGATTTAGTTGTGGGCCACCTCTAGTAACACCCACACTATTATTAGTGTCAGGTCAGCTACTAGCTATCAGGGGCTGCTTTTTCTCTTTCCCACACACTTATGGAACTCCAGTGAAGTCTCTTCATGCAACGGAGACCTGATCAAATAGCTTTCTCTTTGCAAACCTGTTTCCTCATTTTCAAAATAGGGATTTTAATGGTTCTGGGTACAAAGGGCGCTTATGAAGATTTGATGAGATGTTGTAAATAAAATGCTCAGCCAGTGTTGTTATTGGGGACGTGTGCAATAAGGACCTTGTCCTCTAAATATCAAGGTTCTGTGTTCTGATTGCAGATTACTACTTCTGATCACAAAAGTGCAGACACAGAGGAAGGCCACTATTGTTTTGACCCCTGCTGGCTGAAGTGGCTTCCAGGAAATTTAAAAGGACAGCCTCTGGGTTTTCTCCCTTTTTCCCCCTTTTGGAAGCCAGACATTTATGGATTAGGACATTTACAAGCAACCATACATACATAATGTGTGGGGAATTTAGAAAGTCATTGCATAAGTCCAGGGAAAAATGCAAACTCAGAAAAGATCTGAGATGATCCTAACCCTCCACTTCAGGCTGATCCCCAGCAAAGAGATACTTTAAAACAACTACCAGGAAGCCCTGGAAGGGGGAAATATGATTTCCAGAGTTACCACATAATAAGATTCAAATGTCTCCTTTAAACAAAAAAATCATAAGGCATAATGAAACAGAAAAGTGCTGCCCATTCAGTGAAAAAAAAAAATATATCCAAGGATGCCCACGTGGCAGACATACTAGACAAAGACAAATAGTCTTAAAATAGCTTAAGAAGACATGGTGAAAGACTGAGAAATGATGTATGAACAAAATGAGAATATCAATAGGGAGATCAAAAATATTAAAAAAAGAAATCCCAGAGCTGAAAAATACAATTACTGAGATGAAAAATTCATTTGAGGAGTTCGAAACAGATGTGGGGAGGCAGAAGACAAAATTGTGAACTTGAAGATAGGACAACTGATAGTTTTGAGTCTGAGGAACAGAAGGAAAAAAGACTGAAGAAGAGTGAACAGAACCTAAGGGACCCATGAAACACCATCGTGCAGACCTACATATATATTGTTGGAGTCCCAGAAGAAGAGAGAGAGAAAGCTGCTACAAAACTACATTTGAAGAAATATTGGCCAGAAACCTCCCAAGTTTTAAGAAAGACATGAATCTATAAATCAAAGGAGCTCACCACACTTCAACAGAAATAACCCCAGAAGACCCACACCAAGACACATTGTAATCAAACTGGTAAAAGCCAAAGAGAAAGAGACAATCTTGAAAGTAGCAAGAGAGAAGCAACATGTCACATAAAGGGGTCCCCAGTAAGAGCTTCAACTGATTTCTTGTTGGAAATCCTGGAAGCCAGAAGGTAATTGGTTGAAATGTTCAAAGTGCTGAGAGAAAAGACTGTTTTTCAACAGGAATTCTATAACTATCAAAATTATCTTGCAACAGTGAGGAAATTAAAGCATGCCCAGATAAGCAAAAGCTGAGAGATTTTGTTGCCATTAGACTTGCCCTGAAAGAAATGATAAAGGGAGTCCTCCCGATTGAAATGAAAGGATGCTGGACAGTAACAGGAGCCATAGGAAGAAATAAAGATCTCCAGCGAAGTAAATAAGTGGGCAATTATTAAAGCTAGTATTATTGTATTAAAATCCACATTTATTTGTTCACATGACTTAGAAGAAAATCCATAAAAATAATTATTCATCTTTGCTATTGGGAAAATACTTTATAAAGATGTAATCTGAGACACCAATAGTGGAAGGAGGTGATAGATATGTAGAGGAGCACAGTTTTTATATGACATTGAAGTTAAGCTGGTATAAATTCAAACTGAAGTGTTATAACTTCAGGGGGTTTCATAAATAATGTAATTCTCAGGGTTACTATAGAATATATACAATTGGAAATGAGAAGGGAGTCAGAACATTTTATTATAAAAACATTAACTAAACACAGAAGAAGGCAGTAATGGAGTAGATGAGGGGCCAAAAAAAGGCTTTGAGGCATACAGAAAACAAACAGCAAAGTGGCAAAAATAAGTCCCTCCTCATCAAAAATTTCTTTATATCAAAAGTCGGAGATTGGTGGAATAGATAAAGAAAACATGATCCAACCATAGGCTGTCTATAAGAGACTCACTTTAGATTCAAAGACACAAATAGGATGAAAGGGACAGGATAGAAAAGGATATTCCATGCAAATCGTAACCAAAAGAGTGTTGGAATGACTATGTTAATATCAAATAGACATCAAATTGAAATAGGTTTCAAAGGACAAAGTAAGACAGTATATATTAATAAAAGTTTCAACACAGCAAGAAGTCATAACCAATACAAACATTTATACACTTTGAAAATGAAGGAAATGTGGACAGAACTGCATAGAGAAATAATTCTACAATAATAGTTACAGCCTTCAATATTCCACTTTCAATAATGGATAGAACAAACAGGTAATAAGTAAAGAATGAAAGACTTGAACAACACAATAAAAGTAGCACTGACTGACATATAGAGAACACTCTACCCAACAACAAAATACAAGTACACATGGGACATTTCCCAGGATATACCATATGTTAGGACACCAAATGAATCTCAGTAGATTAAAAAAAAAAACATATCATACACACTATCAACTCTGGTCACCATGAGATTCAGTAAGAAATCAATAACAGAAAGGAAAATGGAAAATTTACAACTGTGGAAAATATATACTCTAAAAACAGTAATTTAAAAAAAATCTCAAGGGAAATTAGAAAAT